GTCTCCCTCTTAGCGCTCCGTCATATTTCAACCCATTTTTATCTTAAATGCACTGGGTTTTACCCTATTACCCATCTAAATATGCCCTATTAATTATTTTACCGTATTTTACATTTAAATTTCATGGTTAAACAGTACATGCTACATGTTAAACTGATAGTTAGCTAGCTACTTCTGTAAACTCAGCTAGTTTAAAGGTGGCAGTGACATAAATACGAATATAGATTTTAACTTACCGAAAAAAATGAAGTGGAGACTCCTTGGACGCTCTATTAGTGCAATTAATACCACTGCAAGTCATTTTGTCCAACAATTGCACCAATAATATCCAAAGAAGAATACACAAACACAGAGACTCAAAATGCCGGAGCAGTTTCCAAGCCAGACCGAGGCTGTACTGAGGCCTTTCCACGGAGCTAGCTCTGTGGTCACGTGGGTCTGAGGCGGCGGTCACGTGTGTCGGATGCTCATTAATTATACAGAATTTTAGGCTTTCAATACACTTAAACAGAAGAGTGAGAAAAAAATTCACCCCCCTCAGAGTTGTCATGAGTATAAACTAGATAATTTAGACAAAAAACATGTTTTGGTACCAGGCTGTAAACATGTTTATTTCTGCTGTGAAATCGGCATTTTTAACATGGGAGTCAATGAGGATTTGCTCGCTTCTGGCACCAGCCCCCAGCGGATGAGGGTGGAACTGCAATTTTTCTTACTTCCGGGATGGGACCATTTTTAGAGCGGCATTGTGGGGGCTTGGTGTTTAGGGAAAGTAGCTGGCTGCGATTTCAGTGAAGTCGTGGTCGTTCACTAATTACTGTTATTATTTATTATTTAGCCTTATTTAGAGACTGCATTGCTACCCCAAAAACTCCAATTATATAAATATATGCAAATTTAGAAACAAAATCAGATGCGCTGCTATTCACCTGTTTTCTAGCAGCAAATTAGCTTTACTTTCATCTGTTTCAAGCCAGAAATTTGCATTTTTTTGTGCACAAGGTCTCTTCTGTCTATCTGTTTAGCTGGTGTTTTTGGTGGGGCGCATTTATGCAGTCTGTTTTCAGATGCGATAACATCCTCATGGGAAGCATTGGGTCTGGGAACTCTCCTATTCAAATAACCCCACCCCCTGAGAATTCTACCCGAGCTACTCAGCACTGAGCAGCGTACGACACACACCGCAACGTTGAGTTTCTCATTAACAACAAAGATGGCATCTGAAGTGGAGTTCACTGCAGTGTTTTCCTCTGTGCTGAATGACTTGAATATGTCTTTAAAACCACAACAAGTAGATACACTAAAAGCCTTTCTTTTAAAGACAGATGTTTGCGCCTTCGCCAGATTTCGTTCTTGACTACAGCTAAAAAATTGCATCATCGCGGACATCACACACCATGAGGCTCAGTTTCTCATAAACAACGAAGATGTTGTCTGAAGCGGAGTTCGCTGCGATTCTTCCCTCTGTTCTGAATGACTTGGACATGTATTTAAAACCACAACAAAAAAAATGCATCTTAAAGCCTTTCTTCTAAAAAAAAGTAGGTTTGCACCGTCGCCAGACGCCATTTTTGACTGCAGTTAAAAAACTACTGCGTTGTGCGGCACAGTCAGCATTTCCGCCTTTTTTCTGATTGGATATTTTTGAGCTGGCTAGTCCCGCCCCTCATGAGCCTTTCTGCCTGTAAGTAACCAGACTAGTTCGCTGTGTAGAACCAAGCCCCCACAATGCGGCTCAGAAAATGGTCTCAACCCGGAAGTACCAAAAATTGCAGTTCCACCCTCATCCGCTGGGGGCTGGTGTCAGAAGCTGGTGGTGGTCGGAGGGACCGGTGGCGCCAGTGCTCGGCAGCCTCGCCTTTGTCAGTGCGCCCCAGGGCAGCTGTGGCTACATTGTAGCTCATCCCCACCAGTGTGTGAATGTGTGTGTGAATGGGTGAATGACTGATTGTGTTGTAAAGCGCCTTGAGGGGTTTCATGACTCTAGAAGTCGCTATATCAAATACAGGCCATTTACCATTTACCAAGCGAGCAAATCCTCATTGACTCCCATGTTAAAAATACCAATTTCACAGCAGAAATAAACATGTTTACAGCCTGGTACCAGAACATGTTTTTTGTTTAAATTATCTAGTTTATACTCATGACAACTCTGAGGGGGGTGAATTTTTTTCTCACTCTTCTGTTTAAGTGTATTAAAAGCCTAAAATTCTGTATAATTAATGAGCATCCGACCCACATGACCGCCGCCTCAGACCCACGTGACCACAGAGCTAGCTCCGTGGAAAGGCCTCAGTAGAGCCTCGGTCTGGCCTGGAAACTGTTTTGGGATTTTGAGTCCCTCTGTTTGTGTATTCTGTTTTGGATATTATTGGTGCAATTGTTGGACAAAAGGACTTGCTGTGGCATTAATTGCATTAATAGAGCGTCCAAGGAGTCTCCACTTTATTTTTTTTGGTAAGTTAAATTATATGTATGTATTTTAGGTCACTGCCGCCTTTAAACTAGCTGAGTTAATCGAAGTAGCTAGCTAACTATGATTTTAACATGCAGCATGCACTGTTTAACCATGAAATTTAGATGTAAAATACGGTAAAATAATTAATAGGGCATATGTCAATGGGTACAAGGGTAAAACCCAGTGCGTTTAACATAAAAATGGGTTGAAATATGACGGAGCTCTTGGAGGGACACTTCTGTGTTCCATTCTTCCACCCGGTTCTCCCTGGCGGTCAGCCCGGTGCATGTCTGACCGATGCGGCACCTACTAGCTGCTGCGCGGGCTGACCGCTCTTGGAGCTCTCGGACGGGGTTGACCGCTCGTGGAGCTCTCGGACGGGGCTGACCGCTCGTGGAGCTCTCGGACTCGTAGAAAGACCTGACCGCAGAAATACTGCAGCTCAATTCCCTACCTAAATGCAAAGTTTGAGAGACGTGGTTCACTTAGGTCTGCACTGCCTTCGGGCTAATATGTCAAGTTCACAAAATGTGGAATGGGATGAAAGGGTAGAATCAGCGGCGAATTGGAACCATCGACATTAATATACTGGACATCTCCTTTCCATAGGCTCCAATATCAAGTTTTTGAGGCCAAATGGGAGGTGGCCACCACCACCATTTTGACCGTGTCACAGGTTCCGTCAAGCCCAGACAATTCCATAAAAGGGAAGAGAGGTGGAGCTGAGGGTGGGGCTGTAAGGCTGGGATCAGCTGACGACACCCGGTCGAACTAGCTACAAGCTAACCTGAAGCTAACCCAAAGCTAACGCGGAGGTGGCAACTAAGCTAACGGATGTAGCTACCTAGCTTCAACCCAACCGGAGCTAACTGTGGAACACCCATCGACCTGAAGCTCACACGAAGTTTAGGTGGAGGTTTGCGGCGCTTTTTCGTGAAAAGTACCTTGATTAAAAAAGTATTAAATCGGTAAGTTTATAATTTATTTCCGTAATGAAAATATATTTTGCTTTGAGCAAGTTTTCAATACCGTATTTTCTGGACTATAAGTCGCTCCTGAGTCGCACCAGCCATTAAATGTATAATGAAGAAGAAAAAAACATATAAGTCGTATTTTGGGGGGACATTTTATTATTTTTCTTACTGAGACCAAGCGTTTCACATTGCAAGACAAGCACTGGTAACAATAACAGAATAAACAACGCGGGCGCAGCAGCGCACCACGGTTTCCAGCAGAGGATGGCAGTGATTCAAACCCTCCCGGCGGGCAAGGAGAGCTCATTCCTGGGTCGCAGTCGGCCCGCAGCAGCGCGGTGTAGCCTACATATTTTGTTATATAAGTCGCTCCGGAGTAGCAAGACCGGACAGACTTTGAAAAAAAGTGCGATTTACAGCCCGGAAAATACGGTAGTTACTAGTATTTGAGCTAAATTAGCAGGCTAAATACATTTCATATATTTCCAAAACATAATACTTGTTTGCATCTTGTACAGCCAACTAGCCTTTATTCTGTACTCATTACAATTCACCAAAAGTAAAGAGACATTATACAGATGAAGTAAGCACAAGATAACTTACTGGAAGAAACAGAATTATCATCATGAGAACCAGAACAAGACAGCCTGATAACAGTCATGTGAAAATAACAGTTTAAAAGTATGTATGTGTAATAGAAATAAAAATATATTAGAATTAGTGTAACTCACTGTGATCCAAACAATAAATCAGCCATAGCTGATTAGCAATCATGAAATGAGGTCTGGGAGTTTTTAAGTTTCATTCTTTTATTACATTTTTTTCTTAGATCTGTTAAAAGGTCACCATGGCAGCCTGTGTGTCTCCAACATCAGCTACACAACGCAGCAAGTGTAAGTTCCTGTCTTGACCACTTCATGTATGGTTTTGTACTTTAAACAGCTAGGCCAAACCTGTTATTTTTTTCTCCATAGCCATTTGGATCATCGGTGACAGCTGAGTGAGGCGTGGTGCTCAGAGAGCTGCAGAGACCCTCTGAGACAACCTTGGCCTCCCTGACGTCCGTGTCTCCTGGTTCGGTTGGGGCGGACTGAGGTGGAAAGACCTTTTCCCCTTCTTTTTCAACTCCATGCATGGAAGAGCAGCTCCTGATGTCCTTCTCATCCACTGTGGCTTCAGGTTAGCTTGTAGCTAGTTCGACCAGGTGTCGTCAGTTGATCCCAGCCTTACAGCCCCACCCTCAGCTCCTCCTCTCTTCCCTTTTTTGGAATTGTCTGGGCTTGACGGAACCTGTGACACGGTCAAAATGGCGGTGGTGGCCACCTCCCATTTTAGCACAAAAACTTGTTATTGGAGCCTTTGGAAACCCATTGTCCATATATTAATGTCGATGTGTAGAACAGAGGACATGTCTTGCAGGCCAGGCTAGAAATTTTGGCGATACGATACATATCACGATACAGAGCAGACAATACAATATATCACGATATATTGTGATACATTCAGTCAGACGATATTAGCGATTTTGTTAGACTGAATTTATTGCAGGAAAATTCAACAGTCCAAACTAATATGTAACATGTTTAATATGAGGTATCCTAACCGTAACAGAGGGATTTACATTTCAGTGGTGGAAACAAAACCCATTGCACACTGCTGCCAACTAGCGGTCGGCGTTTGAATTGCACCAAAAGAAAAAAAAAGTTTCCATGTAAATTCTTCCAAAATTTCGATACACAGCTTTGAATATCGATATAATGTTGCAGGAAAAAACATTACGATATATTGCTATATCAATATTTCTTACATCCATATTGTTTGTTATGCAATAGCATGTGGGGACAGTTTGAAATACATCCAGAGATCCCGCACCACAACTGAGAGCCATCAATGCTCCATGGCCAGACTTTACGTTCTCATAATAGGATGGCTTACCAGGCTACGTGTGTGGTGTTTTCACATAGCCATTTTGATGCGTGTGGGCTACTGTAGATGCAAATATAATTTACACATTGGGGCTTTAAAGATCATCAGATCTAAACTTCTAGTTTTCATTATCATTCATTCAAATTTGATCTCAGAAGGCCTGAGACTGCCTAATCAATTGCCTTATGAAGAATATCAGGACTGAAAACCTTTATTAGATGAGTTGTTTTTCTCCATATTTAGGCTTTTTAAGGTGCTTAAGGTCACTTAGAATTAGATTGTGCGCCAGCTTCATCCAGAGATTCACTTGTGTTTTGCTGGAGAATCTTCTTTTGTTTGAACACTTCTCTGAGTGCAGCCAGAAAGACATCACCTCCTTGCGCTGATGCTGGGGAGCCCACCTAACAGCACCAAGACAGAAAACAAATACTGCTCAACATTCTCTAGAAAACATGTCCTCAGAAATCTGGTCCTCTTACCTCTACGCAACTCGCGCTCCTTCTCACTCTTCCTGTTGTGGGAGAAGTTGGGAGAGAAGACAGGAACTGACTCGTATTTTGTGCAGCCGAATGTTGAGGCATATGCTGAGAGTTGGTGCTGCTTTGAGATAAAGGGACCGGTGGTAAAGGACCTTTCAGCAAAGCAGCTGGGAAGGACGCCCCTGCAGTTCTCGGTAATGTCTTAGACATTGCACCTATCAGAGAAGTCTCTCAATTAGATAACTACCTCATTAGTTACATTAGCATGCACTGAAAATCCCTTTGTGTTAAGTACCATTCATCTTTAACTCTGTTTGCACAGCTTTTAATCCTCCAACGTGGCTGATGATGTAGTCAACAACCTCGCTGACATCTTTGTTTTTTATGTCTTCCTTACTAAGTTTTACCTTCATCAACAAGCTGCTCAAAGCTGGGTCCAGATCTGAAAACTACAAGCAACATAGGAGATTTTAATTGTGAAAACAAAATGCAAATGGAACTCAGACTTGTACTGTGGGGCAAACTGATTGTGCAAGTTGCCCCACTTAAAAAGGTGAAAGAGGTCTGTAATTTTCATCATGGGTACACGTAAACCGTGAGAGACAGAAAATAAAAAAAAATCCAGGAAATCACTTTGTAGAATTTTTAAATAACTTATTTGGTGCAGAAAATAAGTATTTAGCTCCTAACTGTACAAACACCTGTATAAAAGGCACATGTCCACACCTTCAGACAATGAGATTCCAACCTCTACCATAACCAAGACCAAGGCCTGTAAGGACACCAGGGACAAGGCTGTGCACCTGCACAAGACTAGGATGAGTCCATCTACAACAGGCAAACGGTTTGGTCAAAAGAGATCATCTGTAAAAGCTATTATCAGAAAATAGAATAAATACATGATAATTGACAATCTCTCTCGACCTGAGGCTCCATGCAAATCTCTCCTCATGAAGTACAAATGATCTTGAGAATGGTGAGGAAACAGCACAGAACTACATGGGGGAACTGGCCAATGACCTGAAGAGCACTGGGACCACAGTAACAAGGTTACCATTAGTAACACATTATGCTGGCATGGAGAGAAATCCTGCAGCTCTTGAAAGGTCTCCCTGCTTAAGCCAGTACAAGTCTATGCCGGCCTAAAGTTTGCCAGAGACCATCTGGATGATCCAGAAGAGAATTGGGAGTACGTCATGTAATCAGATGAGACCAAAATAGAACTCTTTGGTATAAACGTCACTTGGCGTGTTTTGAAGGGAGGAGTATGCTGAGTCGTATCCCAAGAGAACACCATACCCACTGTGAAGCATGGGGGTGGAAGCAATATGCTTTGGGGTTGTTTTTTATGGAAAGGGGACAGGACGACTGTGCTTTATTTAGGAAAAGATGAATGGGACCATGTTTCTTGAGATTTTGGGCAAATCCCTGTTTTCTTTAGTGAGAGCATTGAAGATTAAACATGGCTGGATTGTCCAGCATGATGACCATCTCAAACAAACAGCACGGGCAACGAAGAAGTGGCTACGTAAAAAGCATGTCAAGGTTCTGGAGGGGCCGAACCAGTCTCCAAACTTCAATTCAACTGAGAATCTATGGAGGGTGCATGTTGCCCAGCGACATCCCAAAACATCAAAGGTCTAGAAAAGATCTGAATGGAAGAATAGGCTGAAATACCAGCTACAGTGTGCACGCAAACCTGGTGAAGACCTACAGGAAACATTTGACCTCTGTTATGGCCAACCAAGGCTACGATGTGATTTACATTCTGTCTCTGACTGTTGTAACATACCTATGAAAATAACAGACCTCTTATATTTTTAAGCGAGACAACTTGCACAGTTGGTGGCTGCCACATACTTTCTTTGTCCCTGTGTATTTTTCACTTCTGTGAGTGAGCAGACGTACAGTATTTGTGTTTAAAGTGGGTGCGGGGGATGTTGGCTCCTCTTGGGGATTTTCATCCAATGCTTTTCTGTAAAAAATATACATTTTGTTCAATTATTTGCTCAGTTTTTTTCTTTAAAATACACAAATGTTATTTTTTATTACTCTAAATTAAATGGACTTATCGATGGCGTTTTCACTTCCTTCTTCATGGCATGGATCATGGCAGTCATCTTTTCTGCAGACAAGCATTAAAATAACAAGTCCATTCTTAAATACTGTAATACATTTTACTTTCTGGTATTCTTACCATGAACATTTTCAACAGCTAAATGAAATTCCTCTGCCTCTGCTTTGTTTGCAAAGTTGATTCCTACGTAGTGGCTCTGAAGAAACAAATAAAATCTTTCTGCAGGCAACCCACATTTATTGGGAACACATTAATACTTACCAAGGTGACTTACTTCTGCTGGAAAGGTGTGGAAGTAAGCACAAATTGCATTGTACTTTAGTGGAACATATAACTCCTGCTCCCACCGTAACTTGGACCGCTGTGTTTGGAGGAAGAATTGACTTGAAAGTTATTGTAAATATCTATTTCTTTGTGCATGGGTGCACAGATCAAGTTGGGGGTTCAATTAAACCAATAAGAGAAAACAGCAAACGTCAAAATGTCAGAAATGTGCAAAACGTTCTTCACACTCAAAGTAAAGAGGACAAAAGGAGCTCTCACTGTACTTGTTTCAGAGTGTTTGGTGATCTGAGTGGGCGGAGTGACAGGGTTCATGGTTCCTCTTACCATGATGCAGTACAGACGCAGGAAGTAGGAGTTCACAGACACGTTCTCAGTGAGGCACAGCACGCCGCAGTCCAAAAGGTGCCAGCTTGGACTCTCACCCTCCGTTTCTTTGGCCTGGAGGATCTGAGCTACTGTTGTTTTGATTAACTAAAACACAGAAGTAAAGTTATTAAAACATTGAAATAACAAAAACTATTATTAGTAAAAATCATTTATTAAAGTCAGTTATAAGATTTAAAGCAAAGGGGAAGTTTCACTAACTATTTTTTGTGATTTAATTAGTGTCTTTGTTTCAGCTCCTCTCTGGGTAGACCTGAATCCATGTCTGGCTGTAGACATTTATAGCTCTAGGTTATTGTTTTTATTTGTATTAATTTTTTTAGAACCATCTTCTGAGAAAAAACCTCGGAGGCACCCTTGGTTAAGTTTCAGAGCAGCACACAGCAGTTTCAGAAATCTGGTGCACTTATTTTATGATCTGATGAATAATCCACTTTAGTTAACGTGGTATTTGGAAGGAGAACTGAAACACTTAATGGCTGCGAATTAAAATGAATCATTTCTTATGACTGTTCAAATGAGAGCTTCAAGCTTTTATTTTGATCATTTGGATCATTCAGCTCTTTCAGCTACTAACTGGAAAAAAAAACAATTTGTTGATTCTTAATGGTGAAGTTCCATAACCATTCATCCTGGCCTGGCTTAAAAAAACTATTTTTTTCTAGATGGTACCATTAGAGTTGCTGTGTCAATAAGTTGCACTTGAACTAAACTAAAGGGCACATTTTGGGACTTCTGCTGGTAAGAAAAGGCCCCGTGACATCATTGTGTATATCAGTGGTTCCCAAATTGGGGGTCTCTATGACACACCCTGGAAGTCCATATAAAAGTCACAAGATAAAAGTTTCCTGCAGCCACAGCTCTGGTGCCATATTATCCACAATCCTCATGCAGCCAAGACACTAACCTATTCCAAGGCTCTTTCGTTCAGTTTGACTAAAGTGTCCAAAGTTTGCAGAATGCATCTGTGCGATTCATATACGGGAGCCAGGAAAGTCCCACAGATTACACCTGTGTTGTACTCACTTCACTGGCTTCCTGTCTGGGCAATAATCAATTTTAATGTGGTGGTTTTAACATATAAAGCAGTAAACGCTACTGCACCTACATATTTAAATAAGTTGGTAAAACCGTATGTACATAGTCGAGTTTTAAGATCTCAAGGCACTGGACTTCTGGCTGTTCCGAGAGAAGACAGTTGGTGGGAGAACATTTTCTTCGCATGCACCTGCTCTTTGGAACAGCTTGTCTCTGGACGTCAGGCAGGCATTGATGGTTTTAAAGCAAAGCTAAAGACACATTTGTTTGCACGTTTTTACACATCTCATTGCTCGTGTTGTTTTTAGGTAGATAGTACACCGTATGTAATGCCTACTTTGTTTTATTTTAGGGTTAAGATACTTTGAGGCTTTGTTTTATGAAGTCAAGTCTGCTTTTTTTTAATCAAGCCACATGAAGTCAAGTTTGCTTTGTTGAGTCAAATAATCCAAGCCATTTCAAACCAAGTGTTTTTTTTTCCTGTAGTAAAGAAACTTTTATTTTCTCTCTTCTATGTGTTGGTGGAATCATTGGCTCCAATTCACTGAAGCTGACATAATCATATTATAAACACTGATCTGAGGTGTACACTTACTGGCCGTTTTATTGAGTACACCTTGCTAGTACCGGGTTGGACCCGTTTTTGCCTTCAGAACTACTTTAGTCCTTCGTGGCATAGATTCAACAAGGTACTGGAAACATTCCTCAGAAGTTTTGGTCTATATTGACATGATAGTGTCATGCAGTAGCTCCAGATTTGTCAGCTGCACATCCATGATGCAAATCTCCCACCATATCCCAAAGGTGCTGTATTGGAAACAGAGACTCATCAGACCAGGCAACTTTTTTCCAATCTTCTATTATTCAATTTTGGTGAGCCTGCGAATTGTAGCATCAGTTTCCTGTTCTTAGGTGACAGGAGAGGCACCTGGTGTGGTCTTCTGCTGCTGTAGCCCATCTGCCTTAAGGTTCGACGTGATGTGCATTCAAGGTTGCTCTTCTGCATACCTTGGCTGTAACAAGTGGTAATATGAGTTACTGTTGCCTCCTATCAGCTTGAACCAGTCTGGCCATTCTCCTCCGACCTCTGGCATCAACAAGGCATTTTCTCCCACAGAAATGTCGCTCACCGGATGTTTTCCCCTTTTCGGACCGACCATTCTCTGTAAACCCTAGAAATGGTTGTCTGTGACAGTCCCAGAAGATCAGCAGTTTCTGAAATACTCAGACCAGCCAGTCTGGCACCAACATCCATGCCACGTTCAAAGTCACTTAAATCACCTTTCTGCCTCATTCTGAAGTTCAGTTTGAACTGCAGCGAATAGTCTTGTCCACGTCAACACTCCTAAATGCAATGAGTTGCCATGGATGTTAACAAGCAGTTGGATAAGTGTACCCAATGTAGTGGCCAGTGAGTGTATATTTTTCTATTTCAGTTCACCCAATGTCCCATTCCGTCACAAAGAGGGGGGCATGACAGAAAGTTTGCACTGTAGGCATCTACTTGAACTGAATCGATTTCTATTGAACCCAAACACGGTCACATAAAGCCAAGTTTATGCTTTTGCATCAGCTCCACAAGTGAGAGACACATTGACAGACATTTTACTCTCGGACTTCTCCGTCTCCTGGGTGGTGCTACAAAGTTATTCCCTGCCAAGACAACAGAGGGCGTACAGTAGTGTTGTTCTGGGGTATTCTGTCATGTATCCGGTCCAAAATATTACATTTACAATTTTGTATATTTTGTCTTTGTGTTTCAGAGACTTTTTAACACGGTCAAATTTGTTTTTCTGTGAGGTATTCATCAAGCTGCTCCATGTCTGCCACTAGATATCTTCGGCTTTCTTTATGTTTTTAAGGGTGCAATGGCGGTGCTGTTGACGAAAGCGGCGTCTTGACCAATCACAAGCTTGCACTCTCCCTCTCGTTCGATGGATGTTTAGAAAAGTGGGTTTGACTTAGTCCATCCTTGCGAGCCTGCTGGGGAAGCCTCGCATAATGGAGTTGCATGTCTCAGCGTCGACCCATACGCATAAACTAGGCTTACTCCTCCCCGCGGGTATCTTCCCTGAGACGCTTCTGCCGGAACTGGAAACACGCATTTCAGTAGGAAACGAGATAGTGCTAAACAGCTGTTGTCGTTTTCTAGGTCAAAACGTCTCTTAATGTTCGTGACTTCAAATGGTGTTTTTCTTTTTGGGACTCTGGTAGTTTGTGCTTAAGTTGAAGTGGTAGCA